AGAAATCCAAGGTCAGCTACTTCTGAGATTTAAGCCGTTCTCCGGTAGGCTGCCTTTCATTTTCTGTTAGCAGTAGTCTAGCTCCGGGTTGTGGTAGCTTTTCAGTGGTTCGTTAGGGCTTCTAAATATTTGTAAATCTTCTTTTTTCCTCTTTTTCTATCGTCTAATAAAATCAACGGCAAGGTTTTTTGTCGTCTTTTCTAAAAAAATCAGCATTGCATGCTGGAATAGGGGCAGAAAAAAAAACTCAGGTTGCAGGGGTAGACACCTTCCCTAGAAAAAAATCTTAATATTTGGTTCTTATACTTCCTTCATCAAGTATCTCTACACAGGCTTATGGCAATAAGGGCGTGATTGGTTGCTGATTCTGCTGAGCCTGGCGTGTACTAGCTAACCAAATCCCAGTTATCTGGGCTCCACATATACACGAACACTTGATTGGTTATCCGTTTTCATCCAACCACGTTAGGGAGAGAATCTTATTGGTTGCGCCCATCCACGCCAGCCAGGCCATGCAGAAACGAGCTTCATTTTAGTATCCGCGGAGACAGGCTGTGGCGTGCCTTTTGCACCGCTCGGGCCATGCCCAAATACAAGTTCAAGCAACCAATCAAGCTATTCTTGCATCCCAGGGGCCTGGTCATGCCTCGTGAGGGAAACCAGTCGTGCCCTAAGGGCCTGTTTGGTTGCCCTGATAAAGGCCGGTCAGGCTCCACAGATGCATGGATGCCTGTGCTCGACCACGGGCCTGGTCTGGCGCATGCGGGGAGCCCCTTGGGCCTTGGCTGGCTCTAGGAAAACGGATTTGGAATCCGTTTTTGCCGGGCCTGGCTGGAGCGGGCGCAGCACGTGTATGCGTGTGAGAGGGCGCATGCACCAGGAAGGAGGAAAGCAGGCCAACCAATCAGCTGAGGCTGCATGCGGGCGTGTGAATGCAACGCGAACCAAACAACCGACGCTGCATGCCACAAGCCTGGCTCACGGGCGCCTGGCTCCCAGATGCCAGCCTGGCTGCCCAGAGATGAGAACCAAACGCGCTCTAAGTTGTTCGTCGCACGTCGAACACCATATGCATGAGAGATTATACATAATCATCTTCCCTCGGAAAAAGAATCTACATAAACATCTTAGGAGAAAATGCTAACGGCACTGCATGTAAATTTAGATCATTATTGTGGGGGTATGGTCTTCGGTACCCACAGGACAAGACATCAGCCGCACCATTAGAGGTGGCCTAACCCACAAAATCCAGGCGTGCGGTGCACGGCACTAGTCGGCGTGCACCGCAAGGCTACAAGAAGATATGATTTATTAGATATTGTATAATACCAAATATGATATTTTTCTTGTAACCCTACCCCTCCAGAGCATATAAGGAGGGCAGGGGTCCCCTAGTCGATATCCCCATACGGATCCTAGCCTTTGCATAAGGCATCGGATCACACGCAATATCATACGATAGCCAATACAAACCGACAGACCACAGGAGTAGGGTATTACGTCGTGCTGTCGGCTTGAACCTGTCTAACTCTTGTGTCTCTGTTGCCTTCTTGTTCTTGATTACGCACACCGCTGTCAATCAATCTACCTTCGTGGGATACCCCTCGGAGGACTACTGACGATATTCTATCGACAGTTGGCGCGCCAGGTAGGGGTGTGCGTGATGTTTCCATGACGAATAAGATGGTACACTTTTTAGGCTCTTCGTCCTCTCCAAAGTCCGGCTAGATCTTTACAGACGGATCGATCTCCTAGGTCATCAATGCCGACGGAGACGGAGAGATCATCAAGCCGATGCAGATCGATTCTGCGCCAACCACACCAACACCTGCAATGGCAGATCCAATCTCGAAACCGCCTCCAAGGTCGTCTTCACCAACAACTCGCCGCCTGCTGCCCCGCTACTCGAGGAAACAGGTCAGCAACGACGATCTCATCGCATCCATCGATCAGGTCGGCTAGAAGCTCGCCAACTGCCTCTTCCACACGGAATCGGCTCTGACCACTTCGGCTCGGCGCCAGCCACCTTCCGGTTCCGATCTATCGGAAGCCGATCGGAAAACTCCAGGGGATACGGCCACCATCCATCAGGATGCCCTAAGAGACAAATTCGTCGGCCAGACTGGAGACATCTATCCTCTCGCCGACCCGATCGCCGACTGCTTCGCTCGACCGTCTATCAAAGCGCCATGCAGTATCGCTTCTCCGACCAGATCGAATGCGGTTACGTCAGTAATCTCCCCGAAACTGATCTGCCTAAGGCTGACCAGCACCATAAGGACAACGTCGCTCGGACTACTCGTTCCGACGCCAGCTGCATCGCAACGATGATCGCCGCGTAGAACTGTGCTATGACGACCACGACCGCCGCCATGACGACAAGTCGAAGAGCTCCAAACCCGGCCAGATAACGTCATACATCGCCGATCAGACGCTCTCACTAAAGATAAGTACCCTTCCTATATATAAATTTAATACAATTTTCTCCAAGTCTCGCCATGTTTTCTCCTATTGTTATTTCTCCAATATGTCTCCATGATTATTGTCTCCAATAATCTCCATTTGTTCTCCATGCGAATTATCTTTATGATATTCTCCACTCGACTCGCCGACTAGCCACGTTCTTACTCGCGACAGCTAGAAACAGCCCTGACCTCGACTTCGCTCCTACACGTGCACGAGCCACGCTCTGCGTTATGGACAGTCAGCAGGGGCTCCTTAGCGACGCTCTTTCTCTTACGTGTACACGGGTGCCGGCCACTCCACGCTATAGAGCTTGGGCTAGTCAGGACCGGTGACGCGATAAAGAACCAACTAGAAGGAAGTTACTTATATTTAAAATATGCTCACTTCAAACAAACATAATGTTTATCTACTCCACTCTGTTTTCTTCATCGTCGAGCTCATATATTTTATTTTTACATCATGTACTACCCGTTCTATATATTTGTGTTGCAGGATCATCGTCTAGGTGGTCGGACCACCTGGTACTCGGACTTCTCCACCGATCAACTGGTCGGCCCGCTAGGTTTACGTACTTCGTCGCCGACCAGTTGATTGGACTGTTCGTCGGTTACTTCTACTCAATGCTCACTTCGCTGCCGACCAGTTGGCCGGACTGTTCGTCGCTCGTGCTTCATCATCAGCTACACTGGGGGCTTACCAGCTAAGCTAAGGACTTCTCGGCGTTCGGATTCTTCGTGCAAGAGTTGTTAGCTAAGGCTGGGGACTCTCTTGGTGGCCGGGTCTTGCTACGTCTTATCGGTGTGCTATCAAGCTGATCCATGCTGTTCGGATCAGGGTGTTGATCTTGGACAGCACGTCTGGGGTCTTGATACGTGCATGCCAAATGACGTCGGCAAGCTTTCAGACTTTTTTTACCCTGCTATAAGATTCATTCTTCATCTTCCAGCAGGCTCGGAGACTAAGTGGCTACACTTCACCTAGCGATGAACGTAGTACTCTTTTCTTGATTTACCCTCCTTATTCACGGAGTCTAAGTGGCTACACTTCTCCTAAGCGGAAGAATTTTCAAATTTGATTTTGAGCCCCTTACATCCTTCTGGCAAGCCTTACTTGGCTAAGTACGAGATCGATTAACCTGTTAAACTAGTCGGCTCCTACTTTCACCGCTCAAGTCACCGGTTACACTGGTCGGCTACGACTTTTACCGCCCAGGTCACCAGTTAAACTAGTCGGCTTCGACTTTCACCGCTCAGCTCACCAGTTAAACTGGTCGGCTTCGATTTCCACCGTTCGGATCACCGGTTAAACTGATCGGCTTCACGTCAAACTGCTCGGACTTGTTCAAGACAGTATTGCTCAAAGGATATAAGGCGCTTGGGGACTAGCTGTGGGGGTATGGCCCCTGGTACCCACAGGACAAGACATGGGCCGCACCATTAAAGGTGGCCCAGCCCACAAGATCAAGGCGTGCGGTGCACGGCACTGGTCAGCGTCCACCGTAAGGCTATAAGAAGATGTGATTTATTAGATATTGTATAATACTAAATAGAATATTTTCCTTATAACCCTACCCCTCCAGAGCATATAAGGAGGGGCAGGGGTCCCATAGTCGATATCCTCATACGGATCTTAGGCTTTGCCTAAGGCATCGGATCACACGCAATATTATACGATAGCCAATACAAACCGATATACCATAGGAGTAGAGTATTACGTCATGCTGACGGCCTGAACCTGTCTAACTCTTGTGTCTCTGTTGCCTTCTTGTTCTTAGTTACGCGCACCGCTGTCGATCAATCTACCTTCGTGTGATACCTCTTGGAGGACTGACGACGATATTATGTCGACAATTATGGAACAAGCTGCACATCTAGGACTCAATTTCACTTGAACTTCGTAACAACTTGTTTGGACTTTGATTTGCGGTGTTCCATTGAAAACTTCGGATCTAGTAGATGACATTTAAAGCTGGATACAATACAATGCTTGGTCTACAAATTTAAAGCTGCGGCAGTAACATGCTGGATACAAGCACCTGAACTCACCAAGTGGTAGATGTAGATCACTCACTCAAACCGGCCTACTGGCAGTAACATGCGGTTTTACATTTCTCCGATCCATGGTTCTACAAATGCCATTTGGAGGCAAGACAGCTAGGCAGGAGTAAAAGCAATGGCGTCTGGCCTTCATCCGGAACTGGAAACCTATACGATGGAAACCACACTGGCAACCGGGCCCCGCATTTCGAGTGAGAAACTCGGGGACCGCTGTTGACACAGCAGGTGGCACCGCTGCAGCAAGACGTCTCCGTTTCTCGTGACGATGCTCTCCAGTCCAATCTCCACCAGCCAGCCACCGGAGACTCTGTAACTGTAACGCCACTGACAGGTGGGGCCCAAAGCGCGCGGCGAGGACGCTTCCTTTTCCCAGCTCTGGGTTCCTATTCTACACGCGCGCACAGAACAGAGGCCCCCTCGACTTTCGAGAGCGAAAACCCTCTTTCGCCGCGCCGCTTCCTCTCCCCACCGCCGGTGATGCCTGCGCCGCCATCAGCAGAGGCCGGGAAGGGCCGCACCACGCAACGCGTGACCATCGTCATCGATAGCGACGAGGAAGACGGCGGCGGCGTCGTTGGCGTCGGCGGCCGCCAGGCAGGGCGCGAGCCTGGGAGCGGCGCCGCGATCGCCGCCGCCAGCGAGTCCATAAAGCTCGTCAAGCCAGAGCCCGTCGACGATGCGGGCTTCCACCCGGTGGGTCCGGGGGCGCTGCTCCTTGGGGTGGTGCCTATCTCGCCGCGGGCACAAAACCCCCGCGCGCCGTCCTCGCCACGGGCACAAAACCCCCGCGCGCCGTCCTCGCCACGGGCACCAAGCCCCCGCACGCCGTCCTCGCCGGCGCCGGTCGACGCGGAGGTCCGGAATCAGTCCGAGATTATCGCCATCTCCGACGACGACGACGATGACAATTCCCGATTCCATGGCGCCTTGCCGCTCGACATGGTCGAGGGGAGCGGCCGTCCCGTCAAGGAGGAGGCTTCCGACGACTTGGACTGCGATTGGGTTCGTTTAGCGGAGGCGAAGCGCGCCTTGGTGGCGGTTGTGGCCTCCGGAAGCTCTCACGTGAAGAGGAAGAGGAAGAGAGGATCGCCCGGCGGAGCCAAGCCCTACGCGCGCGGCGGCGGCGGCGTTCACGCGTTGGACCGGAATTCGAGCGCTTCAGGGGCTGGGCATCGCACGGCCACGGCGTGGATGGCCGACGACGCCAGGAGCTCTAGGGATGTGAATAGTAGAGAAGCAAGCAGAGGCGTGGGTGATCGGCCGGGTTCGGCCAAGAAGGCCCTCGTGTCCAGCGAAGAATCCAGGGGTGCACCGGGAAAGGCGAGGAGTGGAGGAGGTGCGAGAAGGGAGAGGAGCACTAGTGTGGCACCTGCGAACTGGATAGGCACCAGCATTGGGTCGCGGATCCGGTCAAGGTCGCGGAAGCAGGGCACAGTGCAGTACTCTGCTCGAGTGTCGTCCGAGGATACAGGGGAGGACGAAGTGCAGGAGCAGAAGAAGAAGAGAGTGGAAGATGTGGAGTCCATGGAGGTAGATGATGATGATGATGATGACAACGATGGGGAAGATGTGGAGTCCATGGAGGTAGATGATGATGACGACGACAACAACAATGGGGCTGGCAATGGCAGGCAAGAGAGTGGGCAGGACGAGGCTTTGGAGGGAAGGAGCAGGCAGGATAGCCATGCTTTGATTGATAGTGAGGAGGAGGTGGGGGAAAAGGAATTGTCGGAAGAGGAGGAAGGTGGCAATCAAGAAGAAAGCACTAGCATCTGCGATGGCGAAGGAGAACAAGAAGAGGACGCGTCTGAAGAGATTGAGCAGGAAATGGATGAAACAGGGGAAGAGGACGAACAGGAACTGGATGGAACAGGAAAGGCGCAGCCATTCACGCCTAGCAACACCATTGCAGGTAGCAGTATGAGGTCAGGAGGCGATGACACGCGAGTCTTTAGGAGGAGGGTTTTTGAGGGCATATATTTGCCTCAGAAGCCACGCAAGACTGTTGGCAAGGGCATCGGAGGGCGGACGCGATCACAGCGAAAATGCAAGGACAAAAAACTGCTCAGACGTGGAACTTTCAGTAAACCCTACAATATTGATATTCCGGACTCGACTTCTGATTCTGAAGAGGATAATGAACCACCAGCGCCACAACAAGGACTTCTGTCATCAAGTGAGGAAGACAACATAACTTTTGGCAAAAGGAAGCGCAGAAGAGCAATAAAAAACAGACGGCTTAAGAGATCGAGTACCAGTAGTGACGAGGAGTACAGAGTATATGCTAGGGACGCCAAAGATAGGCCTTTTCGGAGGCTGAAGAAAGGGCTATCCAATCTTCAGGCTGGCAAGGAAGGTTGCAGAAGGTATGATGGTTCAAATCCTGGGCATGCCAAATACAATGGTCCAAATGGCGAGAACCCAATGAACATGTCCAATGAACAGGATGCTATTCTCTTCAAAAGAAAGGCACATACGATTCGAATGAAGAAGCGCGGTCCAGCAGCGAAAGCTGCATATGATGAACTCCTTAATTCCTTGTTTTCTGGCTGGGAGGATCATATAAATGATCCTGATCATGCAGCAGCTGGAAATAGTTTGCCTTTGGTGTTCGCATTCGGAGATGAGGATGCAGAAGAGAATATAGAAAATGACAAGTATCAAGAAGACCTGTGGAGGGAATGCGACATTGCTTTTGAATCCATGAATATTGGTTCCAACAGCTGTGAAGAGGTATTTAACCTTATGTTATATCATTCAGTTTATACTTTGTTTCTAATCAAGGTGTTTCTGATTTTACGAATGTTGTATTTAGTTTGGAGTGGTTGTCTTGAGCTTGGATTCCCTCAGAAAAATGCATGCTTGCATTGATGGATTCTGTGGATTATGCATTTTCTCTTACTCAGTTACTCCAATACATTTAAGATCCAAATAAAAGCTAATGCTTACACTACTGTGTTCAGGATGGGCAAGAAATTCCTCCAGTGGAAGTTACTTTTTGCAATAATGGGCAGCATGAATTCATTATTGATGAACAAATAGGAGTTCGGTGCAAGCATTGTCATGTTGTCGATCTCGAAATCAGACATGTACTGCCTGCTTTGGTAAGCAAATGTTCAATACAAGTATAGAACATGTTCCTGTAAGACATGATTATGCTTTGCTAGGTAGCACCAACCCCTTTAATAAGTTCATTTTTTTTCCTCGTCCAATAGGGGAAAATTTTCTGCAGAAAGGGAATCAGCAATCGACCCTGAGTTGGACAAGATGCTTAAGGAAATGCTCAATGTTTTTGAACAAAATGATGTGCTGGTATCAAATGGACATGAACTACCATGCAATTTTGGTGGTCACAAAGCTGGTTCAGTCTGGGATCTCATTCCTGGAGTCAAGGAAACTATGTTCCCACACCAGCAGGATGCATTTGAGTTCTTGTGGACGAAGCTGGCAGGAGGTACTACAATTGAACAGCTAAAGCAAAACGTAAAATCTGATGTTGGAGGTGGTTGTGTGATTTCTCATGCACCTGGGACGGGAAAGACGCGACTAGCAATCACATTTGTTCAATCCTACCTTGAGGTTTTCCCACACTGTAGCCCGGTTATCATTGCTCCCAGGGGGATGTTAGCGACATGGGAGAAGGAGTTCAGGAAATGGAAGGTAAAGCTCCCTTTTCATGTACTGAATTCCACTGAGATCAGCTGGAGTGAAGACAAGACCATCCAAGAACAGGTTGCGAAGAATGGAACTTTTCATCGAAGGCTACTGACAGATAAAATGGATCAAAATTATAGACGATTGGTGAAGTTAGGGTCCTGGATGAATGGAACCAGCATAATCGGTTTGAGCTACTCGCTTTTTAGGAAGCTAGCTAATCATGAAGGCATGGACGGGGATAAGGTGAGGAAGCTGCTGCTTGAGAAACCCGACTTGCTTGTCCTTGATGAAGGGCACACGCCAAGGAACAAGAAGAGTCTTATCTGGAAGGTTCTTAAAAGGGTCCGCACTGAAAAGCGAATAATTCTATCGGGGACTCTATTCCAAAACAACTTTGAGGAGCTCTATAACACCTTGCGCCTTGTCAGGCCAAAGGATGCAGATACAGTGCATCTAGAGACGGACGAGGGCAAAGATTTCTGGTCTTCATTAAGACTGAATGACATCACAAAGGCAAACATAAATGAAGTGAGGAAAAAATTGGACCCTATTGTGCACATCCATAGTGGCAAATTTCTTCAGAAGTCTCTCTCAGGACTGAGAGAATCCGTTGTGATTCTGAACCCTCTTCCTTATCAGAAAGAAGTCATCGCAAGTATGGAGAAGGCTGTGGCAACGATGGGTCTTGATGCGGAATACAAAATCTCGATTGCATCAATACATCCCTCCCTCCTTGCCAGTGCAAAATTGTCTGAAGAAGAGGAATCTATCTTGGACATACCTAAGCTAAAGAGTTTACGTTCCTCTCCATCTGAAGGGGTTAAGACGAGGTTTGTTTTGGAGATTGTCCGTCTGTGTGAAGCGCTAAATGAACGGGTTCTAGTGTTCAGCCAATATCTTGGACCATTGTCCATGATCATGGAGCAGCTGAAAGAAAAGTTCAATTGGGCTGAAGGCAAAGAGATCCTGCTAATGAGTGGAAATGTTCCTGTTAAAAATCGCGAAACCATGATGGAGGTCTTCAATAACATGAAAAGCAAGGCCAAGGTAATGCTTGCATCAACGAAGGCATGCTGTGAGGGTATTACACTTATCGGGGCATCACGTGTGGTTCTACTTGATGTTGTGTGGAACCCCTCTGTTGGAAGGCAAGCGATTGGCCGAGCTTACAGAATTGGTCAGGAAAAGATTGTGTACACATACAATCTAATTGCAGAAGGAACAACAGAGAAGAGCAAATATGACAGACAAGCTAAGAAGGAGCACATGTCTAAATTGCTCTTTTCAAAAGAACCGGAGCATGGAGAATGCAACTTGCCTCCAGAACTGACGTTCAATGATAGGGTTTTGGAAGAAATGACTGCACGTGAAGACCTCAAAGAATTGTTTGTAAAGATTTATGTTGACAATCAAACTGATGGGTTAGGTGGTAAGTGAAGTTTCTGAGATTAGTAATCTTATTAGTGCAATAGATTCTGATTTTTATGCATGTTTTGTTATTTGCCTTACATTTTTTATGATGTTCAATACTGTTTGTATGTGTCCCCCATTCCTGCTATATCTCTTTTACTGAAGCTTCTAAGTTCTAGAAGATCGTATGTCCTTTTATAAGAACGTGGCCGTGAAGAAGCATATTGGTGATATACACTACTAGTAACCTTCTGTGCATCATGCCATACTATTTGGAGTAGTATGGAAACTTTCATTTTAACTGGTTGTTTGAGCTACTGGTAATAATGATGTTTTCTTCTTTTCTGTGGATGGATGCAGGAGAGATGGAGAAGAACAATACATGTCCACAGGCCTAATAATATGAAACAGGATTGTGGAAAACAACGAAGGGCACTAAACCAGATGACAGATTATCAAGATGCTGTCGCTGCCAAGGAAGTTTGGTGGGTTTCTTATGCTCTAAGACCTCAGATCCGTGAGGGTTCTAAGCTAGAGTCGAAAGGGATGACCTAGAAGTTTATCTGCACAGCGTAGGTGAGCTGTGGCTAAACCTGCAGAAAGTGGATATGTTGATTGTATTGCTCTTGTACTGGATTCTATGACAATTGCATTGTTTCTAATTTTCCATTCTGGTGCATCGATCAATCTAACGTGCACAGAACACAGCTATTCTTTTTTTTTAAGATCCGAAAACCCGGCATTTAATTAATATAAGAGCAACTCCAAGAGGCTCTATATCTTTATTTAAAGAGCTATTCAATGAATACTCTCTTTGTATCTCTCATGTCTCCGACGATGGACTCTCCAATTTTTGACATTTCTTGTATCTCGATTAATATTAGTCAGAGTAATCATAACAATCTGCAGAAAGATCATCGGTGCTAGCCTCAACAAAACTGACATTTTGGTCTAGGTTGCTGCTGACGAGATTATATGTTATCTTATCAGGAGACCAAGCCGCAATGCTTTCTTCTTATAAATCTTGTGTGTGTTTTTTTTAACATTTCTATACTTGCTTTTTTTTTGATAAATTCTATACTTGCTTTCTTTGTACCTAACATGACACGAGCAATGCTAAATAAATCCCCTTTCTCCAAGGCAAACTGCCATTCCCTTGTTGAGACGTCAAACCAATCCTTTCTTAAATACAGTTGTTTTAACCTCCACATATTCTGTGAAACCCTCTGGGTGTGTTATAACAATTCTGTTGTTCACCCACCTAACATTGTTGGAACCTAGCTGTTTGGCAAAACATTTCTCGACCAGTACCAAGCCTCCCTGTTCTTAACTGGCTTGCATCTGAAGGCCGCTGATTCTTGTCTTCTGCAAGATTGGCCAGATTCTCATCGAAATTTGTTAGCTCAACATGGACCGTTGGGCTTGAACTTCCAGCCTCCAAGTTCAAATAAGCATGTGCATTGAAAGGTTCAGCAGACATCACCGTCCGAGGCTCATCAAGGATTTCCGCTGAACTATCTCCAAGCAATGTAGTTTCAGACCTTGGTTTCTCTTCTATAATCCAATCCCCTTCAAGATCAACAGAAAGCAAACTATCTTCGGTGTGTCCATACATAGCAGGCATGTTTAAGTTTGATGAAAGGTCCAGAATCATTCACCTTTGCCTCTTGCATGCTGGTTTATGAGAGGTGTTATGAAGACGGGTGCTGTTCTCCAATGGCTAAGAGGCCAACTTGAAACCATTCCTGGTGCCTTCTGATGATTGGGAGCACTGAATTCACGAACAGGTTGGAAATCAACCCCCTGGGTACAGGCCCGTACATTAGCAGGTGCAAAGTGTGCGACTGTTCAGGGCCTCCAAAATTACAGGGCCTCCAAATTTACACAATACACTAAGTTCTTGGATGATAGAAAATTGCTTTCTTCTTGTGTCAATCTAGAAGTAAAACTTAAGAGTGAACGTTCAGATATTGATGGAAGAGAATTATATGTGGAGTTAAAGTTCATCCAGATCATATTGACAGATCTATGGGCCCTCTTGATATTCTGAAATATTTGAAACAGCATGGTTCTTTCCCAAACGCCATTATTGCATACTGAATTTTGTTAACCATTCCTGTTACTGTTGCATCTGCGGAAAGGAGCTTTTCTAAACTCAAGTTATTGAAGTCCTACTTGCGATGTACAATGACACAAGAAAGACTCAATGGGTTGGCAACAATAGCACTTGCAAATGATATTTTGGAGATGATCAAGTATGAAGATATAATTGAAGACTTCATTTCAAAGAATACTAAGAGAATGATGCTTTTCAGTAGAACATAAGGTCAGTTTGTTGCTTAAGTACTTTTTGTATTGTTTTAGCATCAAGATTTGATATGTTCTAAGTACCGTAAGAACAACGTATATTTGAAGCTTTATAATGAAGTAAAAGTATGCTTTTGTTATATTATTTTCTTATAAATTTTAGGGCCACATCACGCGTTTCGTTCAGGTACCTCCAAATCGTAGGTACGGGCCTGCTGGGTATCAGCACCACCTTGGTTGGCTGAACCTTGGTCTGCTGCAGGCAACGAAGAGAAGGACCAGACAGCTTCATGCTCAGGTAACTCAGAAACATTCTGATTATTAACGATAAAAGACTCTATTTGTTCAGCATGGGTGCTTAGATTCTGCCATGGTTTTGATCATGTGTAGAAAATTTGCAACATGAAGATCAGGGGACCCATCAAAGAAAATTCTAGAAAGCTCCAAAAATACTGAATGTGAATCAGCATCTTGTGTTGCGTATAGATTATCTCCCTGCAAAAGACAATACTTGTGGAATAACTTGTCAACAACTACTACTTGCGGATTGCTAATCTTCATGATGTCGTTTTTCTGGAAGTAGATATAAGTATCTCTATGCATCTTATAGATGTACCGTTGCATGTATGGCAAAAGCCAACAAATCAAGGAAACCTTTTTCTCTCTTCTCTGATGTACCATAAAATATTGCTTCACGATACACAACCTCCGAAAGTGCTTGGATGCCTAAGCTTTTCATCAAAGCAGCTACTCTTCCATACAGCATTTGCTTATCCTCAGAAGAAAGGTCACCAAATTGTATGGACTAAACATCACTAGAGTTAATAAACTGTTGCTTCAACTCATCATCATCTACCCAGCAAACAAGGATGTAGAGAGACCCATTTATCGGCTGAGATGGGCAATATTGTTGTTTCTAATTTCTGAAGAGATTTTTTCAAGTACAATATATCATTCGTCTTGTCACTCTCAGACTGCAGATACTTAGTCCATCTCACAAACACACAAAAGACATGGTTTGCTGCCTGTGAAGGCAATACAGTGGTTGACAGCCGTAGCAGCATCTCAACATAATTTGATGTTGTTGGAGCCTTTGGTACACCACATGTCAGAGTAAATAATTCACAAAGGTTTGGATAGGCTGCAGACAGCATTCTTCTTGGGAACATGTTTCTGTTTTTCGTTGCCACGAAATTCTCTGTTATTTCAGAACCTCCTGTTGGGTCATGCCAATAGAGGTCTTCTGGCGCCAAAAACCATCCAGGAATAACCTCACTTGCCCGAGGACGCTGCAGTGGTGTAAATATAGAGGGAGATGACATGAACTCCCGTTTAATGTCAATCTGTCTGCCACACCTTCTGACAAGAAGGTATAGAATTTGCACATCTGGCTCATACTTGCTCTGAAGGGAACCTTTGATGTTATCCAATACTTCAGGACCATCAATGCATCACAGTAGGATACCTCTGTTTTGAATCCAATGGCCTTTTTAAGTGAACTGCTAGATACCTGCGGTACAGCATATGGATCCACCACTACCAAAAAGAGAGCAGGCATTTTTTAACTCTGTTGGCATCTCTGTTAATCCCAATTGAAATGGTGCAGAATATTCAAGGTTTCATGTGGGATGATGAGAACGTGTGAACTAGGAACTTCAGAAGCATGTGACATGTGTTTTATGGCACTTGAGGCCATATGCAAATTTCAAAACTGCAACCTTGGGATGATCAGCTATTATAACCATTTGTTTTTGCTCAGCTGAACTCAGGAGAAGTGGGTGCTGTAGAAGGAATAGTTGGGGAGAGTTCAAAAAGGTAGCAGAATCACACAATTTGGTCTTTTGTACCCATAGCTCTTACCAGGTTTCAATAGACCTCTTTATCATTTCGTAATTTGCATGGGAAAAGTTAGCAGTAACTGCCATGTACTGAAGAAGAGCATAAATTTGTGTTTCACTGTTCCAATCACAAGAATTGGCCCAGACCACAAGAGGTCAGTACCTCAAAGCTTATCGAACGTAGTTCGTGTGTGTTTCAATCTGCAACTTTACAGATATCATACACCTTCTTACCTACTTTACAAACTACACGACTGAACTTGCATCGAACATTACATTTTTGCAATGAGCTCATACTGCTCTGATATTTTTCAATGTCCTTTATTGCCTGCTTTAGTTTGCCGCTGACATCACCCAATGCCCACACCAACGATATATGTGGCCGTGGATTCTGCCAAATGATCAAATGACAGTTAAATAATATCATTTAGATTTGGTGACAAAATTAGAAGAGTCATTTTAATCTGACAGAGATTACTGATTACTTCTTCATGTAGTCATGTACTGATATTCCAAATCAACAATTGCATTAGCTTACATCAAAGACACCAGCTTCTTTTTTGCATACTATTGGCCTTAGTACCATATGAATGAATTGGCTAACTTTTGTTTACAAGCAAGATGCTAGATTTATCTAATTGAATGAATTATGTGCTCGATTTATCTAATTCAATGAATTAATTTGAAATCAAGGAAAAGATCATGTTTCATAGCATCTTGTCACTCGTCCTAAACACTAATATAATGCATAACTCAAAATCCATTACCGTGTAAAATTCAGGAAGACCATGCAATCGATATACTTCATCTACCATAAGTATCTGCTTCCTTATCTGCAAAAAAAAACTGAGGGTAAACACAAGATGCAAAAGGTTCTCATTATGAAAATTCAATATGACATAGACATAGGCAGACGCTTCACCCTTAATGCATGTAAACACAAGATGGCACAAACATGTACCGTAAATACCTCTGGCAAACCAGTTCTTGTAACTTCTAGTGAAAGAAATGACCGTGTACAATCGTCATTGACAAAGTGCTCCCATTTATTGAACTCCATACAGTACCTTTGTTCCACATGTATAAAGATCTCCATCAGTAACAATGAGACACAAAGGTTGAAAAGTACAAAAAAGAATACTGGGCAACTGTAACTCTGTACAGGAAAATGCGTCCACAGAGGGGACAAACTAGTAGTCACGGAGCAGCGAAGTTCTTAGAGATGACTAACTGTTGTTGTGGCTGGAATTTCTGGCGAAGCATTGCAACAAATGAGTCAATCTGATGCACCTGGACTGCAACAGGTCTTCCCAAGCTTACATGAAACTCCCTGCTCAGAAGCACTTTCTCAAGCTTCTGTTCATCTTTGCACAATTCAGAAAGTGCATAGTCTGCATCAACAGCATAGAGATCCGGCACAAGAGATGCAGCTCTTTTCATAGAAAGGGCCAGCTGTTTCCTTGCATCAGAAGGTATGACGACTGCATAAGATAAGACAGCTAAATATAAGTGAGGAGCAGTTATAGACTGAAAAATTGTTGTGATTCTAGTTCTGCAAGTATTCAGGCGAACATTGGGGCAGTAGGATCATATGATGGCCACAGTTTCAATAAAAAAATGTGCATAATCTTTTTTCCCCTTCACTAATGAACCGGAGAAATTATTTCCAGACATGTTCTGTTGGTTGCCAAGTTTTTATTGACAAGCTCATTCTAATCCTTGAAACGACACCGTGCAACCAGATAATAGCTAAGAGGATACATCATATATATTTGATCTCGATTTCTAAGTGCACATTAACATCAAAGAACAATAACATTTGTAGCAAGACCAACAAGCATAAGCGCAGACCAGGGATATAAACATGTACAACATAGTTGCCTTCCACATGGGGGAAGCTCCGGACACGACCCCCCTGCGCCATCGCCGAGTAATCTGCACCACGTATTGTCCCCAGATAGGCAGATACCGTCAGCACTAAGAACATCATCAGATATAAGGTTCAAAGAGATGGGAGCGCAAGGAATCATGCCTACGAAGTTGGGGGGATGGAGGAGGTCGAGGGGAGGAGGTGGGAGCAAGGCCGAAGGTTCCGGGACCTCCGGGGCGCCTCCGGAGACGGCAGCCGGCTCGCCGCCGTCAGAGTCGGAGTCGGACGCGTAGCTCGCCATGAGCGCGTCCATCGGTTGCCTTCCCCCCGTTGGACCCCAGCCGAATCGGTGGGGACGTGGGTCCACGACGCGGCCGCGAGAGAAGTCGGCGGCGAGCGCCGCGCTCAACGGCTACTGATGCAGTGGGCGGCGCTAGCGAAGTGGCCCGGTGGGAGGCACGGGGAGGGCGTCGCTTCGCGGAGAGTAGCGGCGCTGGCGTGGAGAGTTGTGTTGGACGGGCGGCCGCGCAGGCAAGAAACGGGAGGACGGAGATGTGAACGAGTGGCTGACGGATGGGAGCCACGGCTGATAGGTAGGGCCCGCGACTGCGGCTAGCCAAAACTCGACCCAATCCCTCTAATCTGAGACGATTCATAACCAAAAGTGCTCCATTATTCAAAAAAAAAACTGCTCCATCAATTAGATTTCGAAGGGACCAGTATTCTCTACACCTAATATATGGGATAGTATGTAAGTTAGCAGAACATCTTGGATGAAGATGATGCAAGCTCCATTCAGAGTTGCTATGACAGTGGAGTCTCTATTCAGAGTTGCTATGGCAGTGGAGTCTCTATTCAGAGTTGCTATGGCAGTGGAGTCTGCACTATTTAAGAGGCTTCGATGTTCCACGTCAATCATGTTCAACCTGAGGGCTGAAAACAGCGTTGATTTCCAGAGAAGGGTTCTTATTAGCGAAGTGACGCCAGTGAGGCTTTCAGACATATATGCAGATCAAGGAGAAGATTCTGTTTGACTGTGAGCGGAGAGCAGCACCAAAAGGCAACAACGGATCAATTCAAGTGTGGCCAGCAGAAGACAACTTACTATCAGTTGCAGACTCAGAGTGCTGATGAACCAATGTTTACGTTCGTCACATGTGTGAACTGCAACAATCACTGGGAGTTCGGCTGAAGACCGGGGCTCCACTGTTTGAATGGTGAAGGAACCGGGAACCCTAAACCGAAGAGCCGCTCGTCACCAACTCGAGATAGTCTGCAAAGATAACTTACAACTGCATGGCTGGAACACCAAGCGCATCAATGCATCGACATTCGTCAGCATCATTTGTGGCTATAGATACACGTATGACATGCGTGACCAAATTCATCATGAGATTGAATCATTAGTGTTGGATGAAAGTCATGAAACGAAGTTCTAGTAGTATACAGTGACGCGCGAATTATTACTTTACAACATACACCTCTCTGCACTCTTCTTCAGTTCATCCTATTCGTGCCGTACAACGTCGATTCAAATTCGCGATTCGGCCTATCTGTGAGTCTTTTGTCGATACTATTATCTACAAAGCATGTTCCACACGTTACAGCAGTTATTGGACTAAGGTGCACCTCAAATCAACGGATCGATCCGGGGGGTCATGCTCGCTTGCCATTGCCATCCCAGTGCAGAGGCATGTTGGGCACATCACCTGAATTGTTCACAAATGATTCATGTGCAATCAGAATCTCTATTGAGGGGGCTCGGTGACACGAGACTATTCATTCAGCATGTAAAAAGATCCAAATACCTTTCCCGAGCCTGAGCAATTCGGGCATCTCTCTGTCTTTGGTGCGGATAAAGGCTGATCGCCATCACTGAATGTTGAAACAGGCTCTGAGAGCACAAGAGCGCCCGTGCTTGAACAGCGAGCACATGCCACGTATCCTACAAGACATGAACATAGAACTGTTGTCACCGTCTGAACAAACAGTAAATTCAGCTTATACACACATATATAGCTAAAAAGGAAGTCTTCTATGCAAAAGTATATTTTAGTAGTCGTACAGAATGCATAGCAAATTTCTGATATGGGGCCCAAGAGCTATCAGCACTTCAAATTCACAACACTATTTTGACCCAGGTGTCAACATGTTATTACTGCACTAAAGCTGAGCAAGCAATGAACTTTACAACACATCTCAGACTTCAGTGTGGGCTTCAGGTCAACATAAATAATGCTTACACTGGACTATATAACTGCGAAAACTGAATTGCATATGCAATCTTCCATAGAACTTATGTTCATGTTATAAGATCATGAAAAAGTTTTGGAGGCTAGTTAAGCTAGTGTGGAGTGCATGTGCTTCCGGGCACATGTTTGTGTGGGTTTGTTCAACACTGTTCTACTTCTTAATGCAATGATACGCAGCTATCCTGCATCTTTGAGAAATAAAAAAGTTTTGGAGGAAAACATACCGGTTCCTAAACAGTATTTGCACCGCTTATGCTCCTGCTGCTTGACATTGTTTATCTCAACAACCATTAGGGCAGAGATAACTCCAACTGCTCCGCCTGAGAAAGATGCCACAATGGGATCTACCTGACTGCAGTACAGGTAGACAAATGAAGAGAGAATCAGTTAGTAGTCATGGGCTCATGGCAGATCAGTCTTGATTTCCCTAGCTAGATGATCCTTGATAGATGAAGACCATGGAAAAGTGATAGTACCTCAACTGCATGGGCAGATGAACGCTGCGGATAAAGTCTTCATAAGATGTACCCCCTAGACCGAGTTTAAGTTCCAGCTCTGCATGATAGCACATCAAGTTGCATACTTGCATGGCAAAATAAACTAGAACAGTCACCATTAGTGATACAAAAATTGAGAACTGTGACTTACGATTGGTGCAAGAAAACCACCGAAGACCATTATACTAGCTATGAGGGTGAAACATGTGGCATAGTAGACCTTTAGATTAGCTGCACTCTGTTCGCATAAGGGAAAAGTTTGTACGTCAGTAACAACCATGCATCGTAGTGTCTGAGTGCTGAAAGGCACAGATACATACCAGAGGAGGCAAGAATGGAATAAACGACGGAAAATCAGGGAGTTCCCTATCACTCTCTTCATCTGAAATTCCGAGTTCCACATTTTTTATTCTTTGCTGTATTCTCAACCGTCGAATCTATGAACAAGGCAAATGGAAAATAAGGATATAAGACCCAGAGAGCATATGATGCATTTTCTGGCACCACTGCAACCAGAACCAACTAGAAGAGCCAACTAAAACACTCAATCTGAAGTACAGAACGAAAGAAGCTGCACAAGACATGCAAACATCGCCGGATATCTCAAGTTTTCTTTTTTCAAAGATCAATCTCAAGTTTTCTGATAGCTCACATTGGGCTAGTATCTGCATAACATGGACGCCCAGAACAATTGAGTATAACAACAGCACCCAATTACACAACGGAAAATTCATTCTAAGATCGTGTGTTTTGGAAAATACCACCGAAAGAACCTGGCTCCGTAAAAAACTATCGAAAGATCCAAACATTATGGTATTTAGCAATCTGTTATTCTGTTTGATTTTGGACTGGTTGTTGTTAAGTTGGACGAAAACGCCCCATACCATCTCAAGAACCAGCCATTTCAACACAATCTCACCAGCATCTCCACAGACTCCTACTTGCCATCTCCACAGACATGCTAGCTGCCTTTTCAACACAGATTATAGCTGTTGCCATTTCAGCACAGATGAACTAATCCTGCTTTGGGGCTATCCTCCTTGTCTTGCTTCTGACATCTTGGCTTGGCGGCGATGAGCAGGGGTGGTGTCTGGTGCTTGGATGGGACATAGCAGGGTTGCCGGCCAAGCATGGAACAGGGGCGAGCAGCAGCCTGGGAAGAGTCGCAGAGAGGAGCAAAGGAGAGTGCGCACAGCACATGAGCTGTGAGCATACCCACATCAATTCGGAGACAGAACTGATAGGGTGTGGTTCAGCCTTGTTCTGGCCAGTCTAGCACATGGGAATTTCTGTCAGGTATGTGTCTAGAGAAAATAAGCAAGGAAAACGTCCTCGAAGCCGATCAATTCTAACAAAGAGATAAAATTCCATAATGTTTGTATCTTTCGATGGTATTTCATGGAATTAGGATCTTTCGGTGATATTTTCCAAAAAGAAGCGATCTTTCAATGCTATAGAACAAATTTTCACATTACAAATAACACTAAGCTTCAGTAACTAACTAGTCAGTCCGTTCCAAATTATAAGTCATTTTGACTTTTTTAAATACATAGCTTTTGCCATATATTTAGACATAGCCTATATCTAGGTGCAAAGCAAAAGCTATGTATCTAGAAAAGTTGAAACAACTTATAATTTGGAATGGAGGGAGTAATTCAAATGAACTTACACATGTTTTAGATAGGAGTGTGACCATTTTTCAGCTTTAGTTGTGTCACAGTAACCAAAGATGGTAGCATGCTATTTAGTGTTATCTATTTTGACAATCAATTTCATAGTGCCAAGCTTACAAAGCTAATATTTAACTAAACAAGTAGCAATGTAAGACTATAAGAATACAAAGTCAACACACCTCCTCCATATGCAAGAAAATCTTGTTTCGGCGGCTCCTAATGTTATCCTGGATCTCTTGCAAGTCAAGCTTTGCAAAATCTTGGACTGTCTCAGGCCCTTCAATGATGCAAAACCTGCAAAAAGCCAAGCAGGGGGCAATGTTAGCTCCGCCCAGCACAAACCATACCTGAATACTATCGATAAATGCAAAAGAGTACAAAGCCAACAGTTTGTCAGTTAGATCCAACATATCAACCTACTTTCAAACAGAGATCCAACATGTCCATGTATTCTTGATGGACAGTGTCGGTGTTTCGAGTAAACACCAACGAGTAAATTTCTAATATTGCGCATCTGGCTTGGATGGTGTGCTAAGAGGACACGAGGTTTAAACTGGTTCGGGCGGAATGTCCATACGTCCAGTTCGTTGCTGCTGCTCATGTTACTAGCACTGAAAAGTTCGTAGTAGGGGTTACAAACGGGCGAGAGAGGGACAGATCCCAAGTCTCTGGTGGAAAGAACGAAGGGGTACCGAGAGCTCGGTCGCTGCTCGGCTATGTGTTCGAGGCTCGATGCTAGTGGTTTTGATCTGATGCGGTGCAATGCCCCTTAGTGGGGTACCCTACTTTCCCTTTTATAGGCCAAGGGAAAGCACGGGTTACAGCGGAAGAAAAGAGGAGGACGAGAGAGAGAAAGTCATTCAGGGTCGCCGGGCCTTTCTTTTCCTTTGCGCGGGTCCCGCTGACACGGCAGGTGGCGACAGGGACAGCTCCACGCCGGGCGCCTGTCCGCCTGATGATGCCATGCCCTGGCGTTGTCAGCGGGTCGTGACGTCCCATTCCGCCCTGGCGGGCGGCGCGGTGAACCAGCATGTTGACCAGTGGTCGTACAAGGAGTAGGTAGCAAAGTAACCATGCGTCCGTCACTGTGGGCGATGTGAGTTCCCTGAAATGACACGTCGCGGGGATGGGTCGTGTTGAGACGTGACCTCTCCCTGCACGGTGCCAGAAGTTTGACCTTGGGTTGTACTTTCTGGCCCGTAGTGGTTGGCGGCGGCGTGAGCTTCCGTTAGGAGCCATGCCCGAGGGATCAGGCGAGGCGGACCCAACCTTCAGACGTCGGGCGAGGCGGAGCCCGTCCCCAGAGGTCGGGCGAGGCGGATCGCACGACCTTGGGGTTGGGTGAGGCGGAGCCCACCCTTAGAGGTCGGGCGGGGCGGAGCCCGTGACCTCGGTGTCGGGCGAGGCGGAGCCCGCCCCCAGAGGTCGGGCGAGGCGGATCGCACGACTTTGGGGTTGGGCGAGGTGGAGCCCGCCCTTAGAGGTCAGGCGAGGTGGAGACCACGGCCTCAGTGTCGGATGAGGCAGAGCCTACCCCCAGAGGTTGGGCGAGGCGGAGACCACGCCCTCGATGTCGGACGAGGCGGAGCCCGCCCCCAGAGGTCGGGCAAGGCGGGTCGCACGACCTTGGGGTCGGGCGAGGCGGAGCCCGCCCTTAGGGGTCAGGCGCGGCGGAGACCACGGCCTCGGTGTCGGACAAGGCGGAGCTCGCCCCCAGAGGTCGGGCAAGGCAGATCATACAACCTTGGGGTTGGGCGAGGCGGAGCCCGTGACCAGAGGTCGATCGAGGTGGAGCCCGCGGCCTCGATGTTGGTTGGAGCTATAGTCGCACCTTTGACTGCTTGGATGGATTAACGTATAACGACAATTAGTCCCTCCTCTTTGGGTACCCTAGTATTGGTCCCCAACAGTAGCCCCCGAGCTTTTGGAGGAGTAGAATACTCCTTCAGAGGCTTTTCTGAACGAGAGGGCTCTGAGGGCTTTAGCCTTCTTCTGTAGCCCATGACGTAACCTGGGAACGGTGGTTCCCTTTCGTCGAGACTGGACCCTTCGTGGGTATGGCCATGAGATTTGGTGGTTTGGAAGAGGTCTTTCCTGATTGGGGCCCTGGTATCCCGTTCGCGGGGATCCGGCTAGGGCCAGCTGGTGACTGACTCTAGATTCTCAGCGGTCAATCCATACAGTTCTCGGGTCCGTTTGACCGGTCCCGAGGGCTCTCTGCCTTCCTTGGGGAAAAAACATGGATCATAATCTAGCTAAGACTCGAATGTGGGCCAGGATGCCCACAACGCTTGTGCGCCTGGGTGCTGGTCGCTAGCGGACCCACCCCTTTCTACTTCCTTACCTTGAAGGTGCCCAGAGCGGTTGTCGAACCCGACGATGGGCCAACCTTTGAGCTCCTAGGCTCAGACAGGCCGTAGAGGTGTTTTTAGATCCGTATTCCTCGCACTTGCGACGAGTCGTGACCCGTCCAGAAAGGCGAAACATCCGGCGATTTTTCTAAGAGAACGGATAGAGATTGCGTGCGCATATCCCGCAGCGTGACGTTGTGGCAGATCATGGTAGGCGCGGAGATCTAGGCGGGCGGTTGGTTTCCTCGCGCCAGTCGCTCCTATAAAACCAAAGGGTTCGCCCCCGGGTTTTCATACCTTGCCTTCTTGCCTTCGCATCCGCAACCGCCGCCGCCAATCGCCTAGGCTTCCTGCATCTGCGTCCCTACCGCCATCGAGCTCGTATCCACCCACCCCCATCTTCTAATGGATCCGTGGTGCCGCTCTGACATCACCTTCCAGCGTATGGAGGGCCTCGTCTGTCGCGGCCTTCTCCGCGCGCGGACCTCGACCGAGGAGTGGCTGCTGCCCGGTGAGGAGGATCTACCGTCGCCGCTCGACGGCTACGTGGTGTCATTCGTGCATTTCCATGAGCGCTGGTTCACTACCCCCGCCCATAGATTTCTTCGGGGGTTGTTGCACTACTACAAGATCGAGTTGCAGCACCTCAATCCTAATGGGATCCAGCACATGGCGGCGTTCGTCGCCCTATGAGAGGGATTCCTAGGGATCAACCCCCACTTCGATCTCTGGAGGTGCTTCTTCACCATCACCCTCCAGAAGAAGAGGGAGAAAAGTGATAGGCAGGAGCTGCACATGCCGATGGGGTGCGCCGGCATCCATCTCTGGAACAATCGGGTCGGCGAGTACCCGTCGATGCGACTGTCGACATCCAACAAGGGGTGGCACTCGAGTGGTTCTACCTCAAGAACGCTGCCGCCGTCGCCCTGCCAGAGTTCACCGGGCGCCTGATCAAGGAGGCCCCGGAGTCATGGAGGAAGTGGGGCGTCCCGAAGAAGGACAACAAGAAGATCTAGGATCACATCGCCGCCATCCACATCCTGAAGGAGCGTGGCCTAAAGGGGTCGGGCATCATCGGGGCCTACCACGCAAGGAGGGTGGCGCCGTTGATGATGCCCGCGCTCCCCCTATACGCGATGGCGCCCGAGGCGTCGTTCGATGGAATGGCGCTTGCCGAGGGGGCGCTCTCCAACTCTGAGATCGCGCAACGCATCAACGAGGCGATGGATCCTACATGGGATGACGCGGAGCCCGCCCTTAGAGGTCGGGCGAGGTGGAGCCTGTGGCCTCGATGTCGGGCGAGGCGGAGCCCATCCCCAGAGGTCGGGCAAGGCAGATCGCACGACCTTGGGGTTGGGTGAGGTGGAGCCTACCCTTAGAGGTCGGGCAGGGCGGAGCCCTCGGCCTCGTTGTTCGGCGAGGCGGAGCCTGCCCCCAGAGGTCGGGCGAGGCGGATCGCACGACCTTGGGGTTGGACGAGGCGGAGCCCGCCCTTAGAGGTCAGGCGAGGCGGAGACCACGGCCCTGGTGTCAGATGAGGTGGAGCCCGCCCCTAGAGGTCGGGCGAGGCGGATCGCACGACCTTAGGGTCGGGTAAGGCAGAGCCCGCCGTTAGTGGTCGGGCGAGGCAGAGACCACGGCCTCGGTGTCGAACAAGGCGGAGCCCGCCCCTAGAGGTCGGGCGAGGCGGATCGCACGACCTTGGGGTCAGGTGAGGTGGAGCCCGCGGCCTCGATGTGGGTTGGAGCTGTAGTCGCACATTTGACTGCCTGGATGGATTAACGTATAACGACCATTAGCCCCTCCTCTTTGGGTACCCTAGTATTGGTCCCCTAAATGAGATTCATCGCACGGGCAATCACAAACCGACTCATTAGTCACATGCAGGTAGACCAGCGAAAACAAACATGTTTTGCTCACGCCTCACAGCTCACCAGCAGAGCTAAAAATTACCAACTTCCTAGTTCCGACATAAAATGTTTTTACCCAGGTGATGCGGCGGCCTGGTCGTCCCTGACCCCGAACGGCGGGGTAGGTGGTGAAGACGACGACGATGGGAGGTTAGAGGAGCCGCCGGACGCCGCAGCGGAGGCCGCGACATGCCACCTCCACGTGAGCCCTGGTAGGCGCAGGCGGTATGCGTCGGCTCTCGGTAGCCGAAGCCGACTGGGCAAGAGGCCGTTGCAGGCCAGCATGTGGCCGGAGCAGAGCATCGCCGGCAACACTCCCCACTAGATACACTTTTTTTCTTATGCCTGTGGATAGACGAGTCGACTCGACGGCGACGGGTCAGATGGGAGACAGTTTGGATAATAGGCTGGATTTATCGAGGAGGGAGCAGGCAGTGGCTGTGATTTCTGAATTCCTGATCGGTGGAGCACGGGAGCGGGGAAGATGAGCGTGCCTGAAGCAAGGAGTAGTGGAGCTTGTATTTTCGAGCCCTGTTTTTCTTTTCTCTAGCAAAAATGGCGATTGCGACAGGAGAAGAAAAAAATATATCAGGAATTAGTGGATTCTGATGCCGGATTTTTTGTTTTTAGCCTTTTTTGAAAGTTTTTCATAAATATGCCCCTGGAGGTATGCTTTCAAAATATGGACCCTTAGCTCGGCGCCATCGTTGGTGGCGCCGAGCTTACACGTCTTGGCGCCATAGATTTTGGCGCCTAGGTCTTGGGCTCGATGCAGACGTAGCGGTGACTTGGCAGGCACCTTGGCGCCGTAGATCTTTGCGCCGTGGTTATTGATGCTAAGCCCTGTCTTATGTATGGGCCCTCCCTTCCTTTCTCTCTTCCTCTCTCTCTACCGCTCACGAGTCAGGGCGTCGCCAGCGCTGCCGCACCGCCGCGCCCGCCGCCGCGCGTAGCCCTGGCCATCCGTGGCCCCAATCTGCGCCCGCGCCCGTGCCGGCCCCCGCGCCCTGGCTCGGCCGTTCGCTAGCGCTGTCGCACCGCCGAGCTTGATCCACGCTTGTTCCAACGGTAAGCTGAATCCGCAATGTACTTTGACCCATCATATGGAGGCCACTCTCCAGGGTCCCGGAAAGGTAATGTACTTTGATCCACGCTTGTTCTAGCTTACCATTTGAACAAGCGTGGATCAAGCTCGACGGTGCGGCAGCGCTGGCGGACGGCCGAGCCAGGGCGCGGGGGCGGGCTGGGGCCGCGGACGGCCGGGGCTACGCGCGGCTACGGGTGCGGCGTTGCAGCAGTGCTGGCGGCGTCCTGGCTCGGGAGCGATAGAGAGAGAGGAAGAGAGAAACGAAGGGAGGGCACATACGTAAGACAGGGCTTGGTGCCAATAACCACGGCCACAAGCTCAGCGTCAAGATCTACGGCGCCAAGGTGCCTGCAAAGTCACCGCCACGTCTGCATCGAACCCAAGACTTAGGCGCCAAAATTTATGGCGCCGAGACGTGTAAGCTCGGCGTTACCAACGATGGCGCCGAGCTAAGGGTCCAGATTTTAAAAGCAAACCTCCAGAGGTATATTTGTGAAAAACTTTCAAAAAAGGCTAAAAAACAAAAAATTCAGATTCTGATGGCGGGGCACTTGAGCCGGAGTGCCGGAGTGCAGAGTGCTGGAGGACACGCACGCCTCGTCGCCTCCATCCACCGGCCAGGCGCCCACTGACACTAGAAATATTACGTTTAAAAAAGAAAAATTAGGTTGAAACTTTGAAATCAGATACTCCATCCATTCTAAATTATAAAAATTATAAGTTATTCTACCTTTTCTACATACATACTAACTTTTATTATATGTCTAGATAGATACATATTACGTCTGGATTTTAAAACAGATAGAGTAAAAAAAAGATTGGCTATGACTCATGCAAGCATATATTTGAGGGGGGAAATATGTTTTTCTTATCAACAATAACCTAACATAAAAATATATTCCCCATCCAAAAAAAATATAATTCTAGAATTGTATTGTTTTTGGGCGGAAGGAGCAGGGTGTTAGAGATTTTTCTTCTTTCTCGCTACAGAGAGAAAGGTTGGGATAGTTGTTGGGTGTGTGTGTTCGTACTAATCTCTGAGGCCAGGTCCAGGGGTAAGTAGACACCTCGAATGTTGCAGATTGGTCGTATTAAGTTGTAGCGGGTTATCCGATATCCTTATCGAACCATCCGTCAGAGCATGATTGTAATAGACTAACTGACTTATTGTAGAGATTGATAGAACAATTGAGGGACCATATAAAAGTCGGACGGTCGGGCAACGTACATGTTAGTTTCGGTAGTACATAACACATAGTTTTTTTTCCGATTAATGCTTTAATAGTTTTATTATGATGCTACATCATATAATTATGCTTATACGAGGGCGAAGAAGTCAGGCTACGCAAAATTGCAAAATTGGTTTTCCCTAGGACCGTGAGATACGCAATGTATGGTTGTATACGAACGCCGCGTCGTTTGCCAAGAACATCAATAGAAGGGAGATAATACAATAATACGTAAATCTTTTGTGTATTTGAGAGAGAAAAAAAGACCAACATGGGCGCTGGTGTTCATCTTTGCCCAACATTCACATTGCGCCAAAGGGTCTGACGGAGACACAAAGATCTGGCACAAGGATGGCGAGACACAAAAATATCCATGGTCGTCTACCTATAAAACAATCATAATTGAAAAGTTATTATAAACATTTGACAACTCGTTGTATGCCGTTATAAAGCTTATGAAAATTCATAAAACACTAGAAAAAGTGGCGTGGCGCCCTGCTTGGAGCCTTCTAGTGGATGCATCACGGTACATTGACCTTTTGTAGCTTGGTTTTATATGTCAGCAATATTTTACCTGATCAGAGATAGATAATTATAAACCATGGTAGCTGCAATGGAGTATAAGAGCTTAGGCTAGCTATGCAATCCTAAGGTAAGTCAATAAGTTTGTTCCATACAAATCATCGAGGAGAGATGACGAGATGAGATTGGGGACATTTGAATTCAGAGCTTCAGTCCCTAAGAAGATGAGATGAGATTGGGGACAGTTGAATTCAGATCTTCAGGTCCTAAGAAGTGAATAGTTCCTTTTCCCATTTTTACATTAAAGATATATGGCGCGCCGAATCAGCGGCCTCCCAGAGTGTCCACGTACGTTTTTTTTATTTGGTGCGTTAGATAGAGATTCCACGGCTCAGATGAGGCGCGTCACAACCGGCCTTCATCCGTGCATTCCGCAGTGTATAGATGAAGCAACTGGACGCATTAAATGAAGTACGGTTTCCTCTGATCGTAGGCGGCATGCAAATGGACGGTGGCGCGTAGCAGGGAACGCTGGATTCTCGGCATGCATGGTTGGTGCCTAACTCATGGTGGTCGGCACGCATGCGAGCCGCTAGGGCCTGGCTTGCTTTGCAGAGCTGGGCTCCACTGTGGTCCTCTCCTTCCTCTTTCTCTCTCGTGTAATAAATGGCAGACGGCAGCAGCTCCCCTCCTCTCTCTCCTCTCCGCACTCTCGCTCTCTCCCTCACTCCTCGTCGCGACCGCCGAGGCTCCCCGCACCCTGTGCGCGGCGCAGTGGCGTCCCCCGGCACGGCGCCACGGTGCGCCGTCCAACGCCGGTGGCCGCGGCGGCGTCCGAGCCCCTGCTCTCCCCCGACGCTGACCGTCACCCGCCGCCTGTGCAGACGCGACGAAGGAGGATCACGACACGACGGAGGATCAGGACATGGCGCAGCTCGTGCTCAGCCTCTGCATCCCGGAGCTCCGGGAGAAGGCTGTCCTCTTCCTCTCCAAGGTGAATGATCCCTGGTCCTCTCGCACGCCAACTCCTCCTCTCCCCCACGCGACGATGAGCCGACGTCCACCAGGTCGCGCGCGGCTAGGACAACAGCCCCACCGGCGGCGGCGGCGGCTAGGGTTAGGGTTTTGGGCAACAGTGATCTAGCACCTCTTCTTTCTCTCCTATTGTTTTTATTCTGTCATTTGCTTACATTAATTAATTTCTGGGTAGTAGTATCTTGTGCAAATACAGTTGACCTATTTCCCTGGTGGTATAAAGTAACTAGCAAAGTGTATTCATATATTTAGGCAATTACGCTTCCTTTCTTCTCAAAGTATTTGAGACATTGATGTGATTCTAGGACCAGTGATTCAGACCATAAAAAAAGGATACTCTGTAGATATAACTTGCTGGTGACCTGGTGTAGCTGCAAATAAACATGTACATTGTCTTCGGTTTCAACTTTGAATCAATTGCACAACTGAATCGCCTTTTAGAATAGTGAATATGTTGGTGACATAGTGAAACCTTTTTTTTTAACTAGGATTTAGTTTTACATTAGATTCGCCTAGATTCTGGTGGTACGCAATCTTTTCTTGCATCCTTTTGCCTCGTTATTGCCTCATTAGAGGGGATCCTAAAAAACTGATGGAATAGTTGTACTTGGGTGTGCTTCAGCTTAGGTACAGTGATGCCCACATACAGTTTGGTTATCCTATGCTTTTGGATCTTGCATCTTTTTTAACTACTGTGCTTACTAACAGTTTCCTAATAGATTACTTACTAAATCTAAAAGGACTCATCACTTCAATCTAAAGGCATTTTCAACCTGAAGGACACAACCAAATGGGATGCTTGGAAGGTTATTATAGGTTTGTTCAGATTTATTCTGGATGTGCTATTTTCCCCTCTGACCAAACTCTGAATTGACGCTTATACATCGTTGCAACTTTTGCACCTGAATAGGGAAATCCAAGGAGGATGCGACGACTGATTACATCACCAAATGTACTTCATGTGTAAAATTGTTTGGAGCAATTAAGTAGCATACAGGTAGCTTGCAGCACCATGACTATGTCATCATATTTTTACTGTCTTGCATATTATCTGCCTGTGAGATCAATGAAGTTGGTCTCGTAGCTTGCACCACCATGACTATTTCATCATATTTTTACTGTCTTGCATATTATCTGCCTTTGAGATCAATGAAGTGGGTTCGGCTGAGAAGAATGCTATCTCATGTGGCTTCTTAATGAAACTTTTCAAGGCATTTTGGATTTCATAGTTTTTTCAGTCAGCCCCTACTGAAGGTGACAGATACTCTGTCCTCTGTTTTGATTGTTTGACCTTATAATAAAATTTGATCAGGATATATTGTGCCTATGCACCTTTTATTATATTTTTTGAATTAGTGTAGACCAAAATATTTATTCAGTTAATGATAATATAGTAGAAAGTTGTATGCTTTATCTCAGTTTTAAACCTA